TGTCATGTTAACCATAAAAATAGAAATGCAGTCAGCACAAGTACACTGTGTGTTTATTCTGAAAGGTTCAAAGTACCCTCAGAGACGTCCTTTTGGATGAAGTGAACTCTAAGCCCAAAGCTTTATAGTATAAAGGCTGGCAGACATCACCCATTAACAGCTCCAGAACCCCTGACACCTGAGGAAACAGTGGGTGGGACAATAAGCACAACAGTATCAGGTTGTCTTCACATTCATAATGAATTTAATGAATCATTGAGAAAAATTAATGAAAAAGGACAGAATCTCATTGATTAGAAAACTCACCTCAAAAAGGGTGACCTCCTTCACTGGTCCACTTTGATTCTTATCTTTCACCATTTTTGAGGATGAATTCTGTTTTTCTGATGGTGAGTGACGCTCCACTATTGCCAGCCGCTCTGCTAGGCACTGTTGTAGTAGCTGATAGAGTAAGGTCCCATCTGGCACAGAGCGATAGAGGGTTTCCAGCCTGCCATAAGTTAGGTACTCCAGGATATTCAAGCCATTCTCAGTGAAAAGCCGAACAAACTGGGGCTTGTCGTTGATCAATGCATCTGTCATTGAGTCCTCCAAATCTTCGTACTGTTTAATTGGAGGAAGAAGATCATATTTTAGGACAGGTTAATACTTTAAGCCAAGTATTCTGTAAATCATAGGTAACCTGTATCTGTCAGAAGTGGTATAATAAACTGCACAATGTACTTCAGAGTATTTCCATTCAGTGTGGTGTCTTTTTCCCTCCTCACCTTCCACTGGATGTCTCCATTGAAGAGTTCACTCTTGGCAATGTCAACCCTGTTCCACGTTACTGCTAGTTTCAGCTCATCACTATAAGGGTTGGCATCAACTGATGATTGCTGCTTACTTGCTGAAAAACACAAACACGACAAAAATTAATCAAAATAAGGACTAAAAGTGCATGTTGCTGCTATGTTGTAAAATTACTGTCTACTTATACATACCTCCCACGAGTGTTTTAAGCAGGACTGTGTCAAAGTCATTTGGACTCTCGTGCTCTCCTTGGTAGATTGTAATCAAATCTTTGTTCTGGTAAATGCTCAAAGCCTGGAGACAGAAGATGGGAAAAGGAACAGGAACAATGCAAAATATTTTAGAAAAAAGATGTTCGACAGTGATGAGGAAGAAACTGGTGACAAAGGTTCTTTTCAAACTCATGATGTCATTCATGGCACAGCCTCTAATTAAGCAAGAGGGTTTGACTTTAATCAACTGCGATCCTGAAAAACTGACAAAAAGATCGAGCGCCCTGAGGGCATGAATATTAGACCTGAATACAGTTTAGTAAGCAGCTGACAGATATGCAGGCTATAAAAAGTCTTTCCTCATACTCTTCTGCAGAGTAAAGGCCAACACAATGTTTCTGTTCTCAGCACTCACCTGTTCAACTAGTTTGTCGGTCTGTGCCTCTGAAGGAAAATGCTTCTTAAACCGTTCTGCCACTCTGTCTTTGAGATCCACACTGGGGGTTTTAGGAGCCTCACTGTTGCCTTCACCAGAGGACGGCACAGCTGGAGCTGAAGACCGGTTCTCCAAGATATCACTCAGGAAATCAGCCAAGCCTCCTGAGCCAGCCAGAACCAGCCAGGGGATGCAGCTTTTTAAAGAGAGATCCATTCTCTGACAGACATTACAAAAACCATGAAATAAAGATTGGCACAATTTAAGTTAGAATTTGCCATTTTTGTTGTAATAATTCACATAAAAAGCTGTAAAGGACTGTACCTTTAGCATGTCTGTTTCCCCTGATATCAGCATACAAACGACGGGGATGTCAATGCTGCCACTTCCTTGAAAAAGATAAAACAATTTTTAACACGTTTCAATCTTGATAAAATGTTTTTACTAACTTAATCAGAGTGATCATACTAAGATGTGCAAAGTGCATAATTTTCATGAAGCACAACAGCTGACACTCATACAAAGAGCACCCTGTGGATGCTTTTGTTTTACTTGAATGGAAATGTTGTAGAGTTAACTGTAAGATACATGCAGTCACATGCAAGGCTTTCCTCCCGTAGATGCCAAAAAATAACTAAATAAATAAATAAATCATTCAACCAAAACACGAAGGAACATGTAAAGCCTGTAAAGATCAAAGTTAACTCTGAAAGGATGTATTTTGGGAATAATGGTACAGGAGTTAAGTCTCATTTGGCACAATTAGATTTAAATCAGTTAACTTAAACTGCGTGGAAGATAATGTGTACTCAAGTATAGTTTCTGCTTTAATTCAGAGGCTATAAATGTTGTACTTCATAGTTTATGGTACCATCTCTGACCCCATATGCCTGTGCGCTGCTGGGAAATGAATTCCTCCAGTCTGGCTCTGAAATCTGTTTCTCCTCCTCTGCGGCCCACACTCCCATCGTCCACGAGGAGGAAGGCCTGGTAGTTGTTATCCAGGGAGCAGGAGTCCCGGGAAATGTTTTGGACATAGTACTTTGCTGGAAAGCTTCCCTGCAAAAGAAGAAAAAACTGTTATTCCAGCGTTTCTTTCCAAATTTCAGCCTTAGTTATTTTAAATTGGAGCAAGAACTGCCAACAGTGTGTTCACCCAATAAAACCTGACAAATCAACACGGACCGTGTGTCAAATCGTGGTCCTTTTCCACAAAGACAACAAGATATGATTTAATGCTTAGAGAAATGTGCAAATGTGTGAGAGTTTGTACTACCTGAGGGTTGACCAGCTGCTCTCGTTTTTCCACAAGGCCCCACGGAGCAATGCCCAACGCTACCACCTTGTTGAGCGAGAATGAAGAAGCTGCAGTTGCATGATCTCTCACTGCCTGTCCAACACACCTGCCAACACCTTCACGCAGACCTGTAGTTAAGATCCATGCACCTGGGGGAAACAGGTGGAAAATCTGATTATTTTTTTCAGTTTTCTTCAGTGAATAAAATATAACTTTATGTGACTTTGCAAATCACTGGATTCTGTTTTATTTACATATTGCACTGCATCTCAAGTTGTTTTGTTTTTTGGGGGGTTTTTACAGCTAAGATTGTCAACAATTTATTACAGGGTCTGCTGTTTCTCTAAGCATGAACAAACAAAGGTCATGTCAAAAGTTGTAAATGTGTTTCACATTTTACACCAGTTTTTAATTTAAAAGGAACAAAACGAATGAGACTTGACAATCTGGGCACCAAAACGGGAAGAAAAACAAAGGGAGCAGAACCAAATTATTGATCCCTGAGAAATAAACCTAAGACCACAGCAAGTCAAGTATCAGATTCATACACATTTATCTGTAAAAGAATTAAAAGCACATAAAAAAAAGACTACAAAGGCCACAGACATGCGTAAAACATGTTTTTATATGCAATGGGTTTTAACACCAAATATGGTGCCACGCCCTGTACTATGTCTTATCTAACAAAGATGTTTAGGGAGTGTGAGCCGTGTAGTTACTTGCATCTTTGTGTGCATGTTTTGTTTGGGGCTTTGATTTTTTTTTTTTCAGTACGTCTTGGACTTGTTTTGAGAAAACAGCGAGTGACCTCAGATGACGGGGGGATCAGTATCGCCATATGCCACCTGCACTTGGTACAGTAGCCAGAGAGGAAATGGCCATTGTACTACCAAATTAGGACCGGACCCCAGGGAGTCGTGTTGTGTGTTGAGACTAAATTTTGTAATAGCTGTTTTCTTCACGCTAAAAACCACCATGAGTAGGTTTCAATGTCTGACAGGATCATTTGTCAGTTCTTTTATCGTCATCTGGAAATTATTATGACATCTGCTAACCAACAATAACCCACTTCAGCAACCAGAACAGAAATAAGATGCTGAGCTCAGATATGCCAGACACATCACACCTGCCAGGAGCACTGACACACTGGCAGATGCATAAAGTTTTTACCTGTGCTTTGTGACGCTTTCACCAGTCCCTGTCTGAGGACCTCCCGTACCCAGGTCTTCACCTGTGTCCTTCCCTCTCCGCCCACAACAGAAACAACCAGGTTGGGTAGAGGAAGACGCCAATGAGCTGTCAGTATGGTGTACACCATAGAAGGCTCAGTGCTCCATGACAGGCGCAGGAACTAAGTTTAGACATTTGATGGATTAAAAGAAGCAAGCCCATGTCAACAATGCAAAAAGATTTGAAAAGTAATGGCCTGTGATCACACTAGTATTAAAGCTGAACGACTCAGTCGTTTCAGCCTTTAAATGGTAATAAAATGGGGGGGAAAGAAGCTTGTCATGTGATCTGTACTGACTTTTGACTCTGTTTACTCAGGTGGAGCGGAGGTAGACTGAAGGTCAGGAAAATTCAACGAATTGACTACTACAGCTCAGGGTTTATCTTAACCTTTATTTAACTCACCTTTGGAGGCATTTCTTTTAAAAACATGTACACATGTTCAAGAACTCTCAGGCTCTTGAAATAAAGCATTCAAACATTATGAGAGAAAAATAAAAGCACCCACATGGCTGTGCCTCTTGCTGGCCCCTGCAAACTGCACCTCTCCAAAGGCATCTGTCGGTCGTTCAGAGGAGTGCTGCACACTTTTCCACTGGTTCACGATGGCTGTGCTGAAATAGTCTCCAAGAGCCACAGAGGCATGGTCATCTCTCGCAGCCCCGCACTGACACAATGCACCATTACTGAGAGAGGTGGAGGGATATAAACAACACCATGAGAAGTTACTCAAAATACATGTGCTGTTATTAAAAGACAGAGGTCACAGTACCTGATGGAATCTTCTACAAAAGTGCTGCACACTCTTTTCTTGATGATTTTGGGGATCCAACTCTGAAAGCATTTTTCAGCAGTTATATAACATTACTGAATTATTACAGAAGCTGATTCAATTCTGAATCCTAAAATCTCATGCATGTGGCAGCAGATGCAGAAAACCGTCCAAGTGTTGACTTTGGCTAAGAGAAACTACCCAGTAACAAGTTGGCGAGCTGTGCTGTGATTTCTGATGATGTGACGTAGTTTGAGCTCAGGTGTGCGCAACAGGCAGGCTGTGCATAAGCGTATTCTGCAGTGGGGCTACATTACATTTTGTTTTCACCAATGTATTCAGTGCTAATCTTTCTGTAATGTTATCAGCCAAGCAGTAAAGAGAGAACACTTTCCCCACAGGCCGTTTAACTGAGAAAAAAAAAACATGATGGCCCCGTTGCATTTATTGGTGCCAGTAGCTGACGCCTCGTCTAGAGTCCTGCAACTGATGCAACTAAACGGAACGCAGTCATTATTAACCATCACCGGAGCGCTTATTTAACTGCTTATGGTTAGGATGCTCGGTTTAGTAGAAGTTAGTTTCTTATAAGTGGCGTGTTTTCCATTTTTATCGCTTAGCCAAAAAAAAAAAAAAAAGTAGACTGCTGCGTCAGAAATGATTGGAAAAGCCGTTCCCAGTTGTTAAAGCTGTAACGTCCACCGGTTAGACAAGTGTAGGGTCAACAAACCACAGCGGAAACAAAGCAGACGGATAGCTCCTGCAGTCGTTCGCGCAAACGTGCACGTTTGGACAGCTGTTGCACGACGTGTTTTCCAAGAAGACTATGGGCGGCTCACTGCAGTTTCTCGGAACTTCATGGGCAGAAATTCCGAGTATAGCGTTAACTTCCACTTCCAAAAAATGTAGCGGCACATCACAACAGCAGCTGAAGGACTTGAGTGAAATCTAACCCACCTGGCTCTTCTCAGTTTGGCCAATATTGTCTCTGCCGTCGCCTCCTCCTCCTTCTTCTGCTCCTGTGTTTTTCATGTTTCCCTTTCAGTCGTTCTCAATGAGAAACATATGCGGAAGGACTAAAAGGGTTTCTTTCTGACTATTTTCCACCTTGTCTCCTACTGCTGAAACCCCATTCCCTGCCACTGCACTCACTCGGCGTGCGCAAAGAAAAATAGGTGCAGCCAGCACACAGGTAAGGGTGTGGTTTCACAGAGGCAGACAATTACACCAACGCATGCAAACAGGAAGGGCCAATCGGAACCACAAAGTGGGCTAGAGTTTATTGAAATACTTCCTCATCCCCTTATCTGGTCACTGGTATCTGTTGTTGGAACTGAATACCCTCAATGACACCACTGTAGCAGAAAGACTGCTAAACATGCCCAAGCTTGTGTCCTCTAATTGTTACTGGAGCCTAAAAATATAACACATTTGTAGTAGAACCTGTTGGGTATGTGTTGCTGTGGTGCTCACTTCCCTCAGAAGTAAAAAGAACAATAGAATGAACAACAAAAAATCCTGCCTGCAGGGGTTTTGTTTCAGAGGCAAATTACAGTCTTGTTCAGCTGAAATTCAGGTCATTGCTTCATCTTTCTCGAATTTATAGATGTCTCATAGTCGTCCTCTGTCTGTACCATTTCAAAGGCTCTTTATGAGAGGTGATCATGGTAGGATTGCACTATACTTTTCCTTTAAGACTATACATAAACACCACAAACTTAATTCTCTTAAATATTTATTGCATATCATATTTAAATATTTACATATTTAAAGTATAAAACGCACGTTTCACACGAGACACAAAAATCATTTGCGAGCATACATTTCTAATAAGTACCAGTCAGTCAGAGCAGACATAGAGATATTTGGTTTTCAGTAGATGGAAAACTATGTGGGCAGCTCTCCACCCCTTCAGTCCTTAATTGCTGACATTCCTTTTGGTCCTATCTGCCGTAGCCCTGTGGATCTTTTGCCTTCTTTGATTCCTCCTTTCCGCTTCCTTTGCTGAAGTGGTATAAAGTGCTGGCTAAGTTGTGAAGCTGGCATGTCCCGAGCTGGCATCCACGCTGAATTGCACGCGGCAGTCGTGGCTTCAGGCCCATGCTGTCGTGATGAAAATGAGAAGGGTGAACATCAAACTCAGGGTGCAGAACATCACATATTAAAAAATGCAGTTTTGAATGAAGTTGGAAAAAAGTGTTGTCTTTCTGAAAAACAATCACAATATTTACCCTCTAATAAAGGACTGATAGTGACATGACCATAATTTTTTTTTAATTTAATGTAATTTTAACAAATACTTTGATTTAGTTTTTCAAATTAAATAATGCTCTTTTTCTATTGACAGCCACTCTCAGCACGTTGTCACGTCCTTTGTACCTGTGTCTCAGAGCCTCCAGGTCCAGATGTTTGTTCTCTGAGGTGAATGGGATGATCTTCAGTAATGGAGCATGGTGCTCGTGTGTGTCCTCTGACATTTCCCCTCCTACATCTCGGACCGCTGCTCCTGGTAGGACGATGTCTGCGTCTGACCTGTGTTTCCAACAGGATATGGAATTTATTAAGTAACCTATAATTTGCAATAATATAACTTTGAGATACACTAATAAGAAGCTCTGCTTTAAACACTTTTTTTAATTTCCCGCCATCCCAAGCATGCTTTGATGTTGCGTTTCTACTGGTAGAGAGTGATACTTCATTATGTGTGCCGTTGTGAGCTGTGTGGTTCCCTGTGTTTTTTCACTCACCTTTGAGTTCGTCTCAGTGGGGAGGCAGCAGTCAAAGGGACAGTCAGCAGCAACAGAACAGCTATCTCCATAATGCACTGCCCTACAATTTAATAGAATGAATAATTAAGTGTGGTGCTAAAGAAAAAATGCTCTTCTGACCCAATTGTTGAAGAAGCACAAAATGATTTAACCATAAAAGTCAAATGATAATAATAATAATTATGTGTTTAGAGAGCTTTTAGAATCGTATAAAAATTAATCTCAAAAGATGCTTACCGCAAAAGGAGAGCTTAAAACCTGCTGTGGCTTGTTGAGTAAACCAACACAACTTGCTGGTTGTTGGATGTCTGACTCTGTCATCCCTTTCTAACGCTGGTCCTTTATAGTGTGATGGTGGGATGAAGGGGTGTGTCTGTAACACACTGACTATTCTGCCAAATGAACTCACACACACACAAACAAACACACACTTTTTTATTCGCTACTTAAAAGAGCTGTGATGCCAGCATAAACAATCTTTAAACAAGGCGTCCAAACACAACTTTGGACTTAAACTTAAGGTGACCTTCTGTGATGTTTACATCGATTCTTATGTTCACTTGTTGCTCTATAGCCCCCCGCTCTTCCTCCTCCTCCATCTTTCTCCTCCCTCAGTTCACTTGCTGCTGAGCAATTGTTCCAGAAATCTTTCTTTCATTTCCATCACCTGCAGGAAGCCCGCTGAGCCCAAAATAGCCCCAGTTCTCCAGGCTTTTCTTTATCGCCCCATTTTTCCTGTGCCTTTTTCCCTTGAGTCACTTTGGCCGTCACCGTGTTTATTTCTGCAGTGTCCTTCACTCATATCCACCTCACCACAAACACAATGTCAAAAACAACTCCTTGATCTTATAGTTTTCCTTAAGGTGTTGGTGATGAATATGGCATATGTGGATGAGAGTTCACATTCAGGAACTCTCATCCACATTTAAAGTGGTCACAGAAACAAAAGATCAAAGTTGGCACTTGGCCTCATACTAACACCTCTCTAGGAAATTATCCCATAATTCCTAATCTTTTAATAATGCACTAAATCCATGGGGAGCCAGTGTCACATTTAATGTTTTTTATCCTACACACTGTTTCTCAGACCGGCTCTCTTCCCTCTGATTCACGGCTTCCGCTCTAGAGACCATTGTGCAGCTTTCCTGTGACTACCATCTGGGCAGTCTGCATTGTCAGAATAATACACTGAGTCATCGCTGGCGTGCGTGTACTCAAGAGCATTAGCGCTCAAATAATTATGAACTTACATATGACTGAGCATGGATTACGACAAGTGTTGATGGGATAACAGGTGATGACGTGAGGGGCTGCATCTCAAGAAAAGAAAAAAAGCCCAGCATCCTGGTAAAACTGTCCCTGTACACCTGCTGCTGCCTAACCTTGAGCAACTTATGTGATTGCGAGGTATCCATCATCGGCCCATCCATCTGTCTGTTCCTCCTCAATTCCCAATAAATCAATACTCCTCACAGGACGGTCAGGTGTTAGTGAAAGTTGCAAACAAGGACCACCTAGCGGGGGTTTACCCAACTTGTGCTTGTGGTCAAGGTCATACTGGCTGTTTTACGGGTACTTTTCCATTTTCATGAGAATTGCTACTCCTCCTAAATTACTGGTAAGGTGTTGATATTTGGTCCTGGAAATGACTCTTTGAAACGTCAGTGAGGCGCACAATGGATTTTAATAATGAATTTATGGAACACAGTCAGCCAATGACAAGAAAAGGTTATAACTTATAACTAAAAATACTTTTTGCATTTCACTCATTTGCATTTCACTGTGTGATGGATCATCAATTGTGATGGACCTAACCACGATTGACATTCTAGTTTATAACATACACTCCCCAGCCAATAAATTCAACATTGTGCTGGAAACATTTCTCAGAGATTTTGATCTCTTTCTTTATTTTTCTATCTATTAGATTGAGATCTGGAGATTACCTAGATCACTCGAGTGCAGTGAACTAGTAACGTTCAAGAAACCAGACTGACTTATCCTGCTGGCAGCAGCCATAAGAAGATGAGTAATGTGATCATAAAGGGATGGACATGTTGGACAATACTCATACCACTACACCACCAGCAACTGCTGACACAAGCCAGCATGGATCCATGTTGTTTATGCCGAGTTCTGACCCTGCCATCTGAATGTTGTAACAGAGCAGGCAGGAGTTTCTACTCTTCTACTGACCAGTTTTGGTGAGCTGTCTGAATTGTAGCTTCAGTCTCCTGTTCTTACCCGACAGGAGTGGCACCCGTTGTGGTCTTCTGCTGCTTTAGTTCATCTGCTTTAAGGTTTGACATGTTATGCATTCAGAGATGCTCTTCTGCATACCTTAGTTGAAATGTACAGGGTGGGCCATTTATATGGATACACCGTAATAACATGGGAATGGTTGGTGATATTAAAGTCCTGTTTGTGGCACATT